TGCTGTAACGGCTTTGACATTCGATAAATCTGGTGTAAGATTAGCTTCAGGATCAAAAGACACTGATATAATTATTTGGGATGTTGTCGGTGAAGTGGGTCTCTTTCGGTAAGATATTTAACAAACTCTTGACAACTATAAACTATAAACTGATTTACTTTATTTCATATTCTTATTTCAGAATGAGAGGTCATAAAGATCAAATTACGGCAATTCGATTTCTCTGTAAACCATTATCGGGTGGTGTTATCTCTGATAACACAACTCAAGATTACCTTCTTTCATCTTCAAAAGATACACTTCTCAAATTGTGGGATTTAAGTACTCAACATTGCATGGAGACTGTAGTTGCTCATCGTAGTGAAATATGGGATTTTGATGTATCAAAAGATGAAACTTTAATTGTGACTGGAAGTTCTGATCCAGAAATAAAATTATGGACAATTGATCACGATGTATTAGCTCAAGGACTTGAATCTGAAAGTACTTTAAAAGATGAAAGTACTGAGGTAATTATTAAAATATATATTAATTACATAATTTTTTAAACTAATATACTGAATTTAATTATTTGAATTTAATTATCGGGAAACTAGATAAAAAAAGTAATCAATCTCTATGGGAATATAAAAAAAGAATGCAAAGAACGTGTTATTACACTCAAATTTCACCCAACTGCCAATATATTAGGTGCCCAAGGTCCTGAGAAATATGTAGAAATTTATCGTATTTACTCGTACGAAGAGATAAAAAAGAAATTGATCCGTCGTAAAAAACGGCAGAAGGAGAAGAAGCAAAAGGCTGATGATTCTAATATGGATATTGATAGTGACTTGGTGGAAATTAGTGCTAGTGACATGATAACTCCATATCGAATGGTTCGAACTGCTTCAAAAATACGGTCTTTCGATTTTTCCGCCAAAGATGATATTACCAAATCCGGCTCGATAGAGGTAAGTCTAATCGTCGCGGCTGAAGCTGGAATATAAAATCCACTTATGGTATACTCTTTTATTATAAACTTTAAGTCTTAAAATTTCATATTAAAACAAGTCCAATTTCAGCTGCGATATCAATTTTTATAATAGCCTTAATTACTCATAATTCACATCAAGAATACTTATGAATTTTTAGATTCTTGTGTCTTTGACAAACAATACACTCGAACTTTACACAATGGGTCTTCCCATGAAGAAAAAAGAAAAATTTCTAGAAACTGCTGAGCCATCAAAGCTATATTCTGTTGACCTTCCTGGCCATCGTAGTGATATCAGAACTTTAGCGTTAAGCTCAGACAATGAATTATTATGTTCCGCATCAAGAAGCAATCTTAAGATTTGGAATATGAGAACTACTTCATGTCTTCAAACAATTGAT